GTCGGTTAAAATACCATCCCGATCCTACTATTGCGGCTAACGGGTTACTGGGGCTTCAAGCCGGAGCCCCAGTAACCGTAAAGTTAGGTAATCAGTCTGTCATCAGAAACTCAGCGTCTATCTACCCCATTATGATGTAAACGGCATTAAGTTTTATAGTGTGGAAAATGTTCAAAGGCGACAAATATATAATTTTCGGTAGTATGCACTGTAGTTGTGAGTTTACATCTCTGTTTGTGCTACAACTAGTAAAACAAGCAGTTTGCATACGTAATCAGTCTTTTATGTATGAAAATATTATACTAGTGACGTGAACATGGTTTTGTCTGTCAAAATAAAATCTATAGGTATTATTATAAAACTATGCATATTTGGTTGATCGTGCTAATCTTAGGAACTACTTGTTTCAATTGAATAAGGGCCGATTTTTCCAAAGCCAGTTATCAGAGGAAAAACTTTGAAGAATTCAAGATACGAATTATCTGTTGATTGAAAAATCGGCCCTAAGTCTGTTTTTGTCTAGAAAGGCTATAATAATTACAGATTCTTAAACATTACCCTACGACCAATAGAAGTAGCAGCGAGTAAAAACGTGCGAAGGTAGTTCATTGAAAATTATCAAATTGTTACATAATTATAGTCTCTTGTATGTCAACAAGCAGTAGGTAGATTCTAACTCAAGCATCGTGAACCTTTTTATTTTATTAATTTACTAGCGGCTTCGCACGAGTGCAATGTGCATGTATATACATAAAAACCTTCCTTAAGAATCTATCTATTAACTCGTCGAGTACCGGTTTTATAGACACAATTAAAGAACAATAGGTCGCGGTCACCGGTGACCGCTTGGTGTTTGACAGATTAAAAAAGACCTCGTCAAAATCCGTTGCATAGTTTTAAAGATCTAAGCATACATAGGGACAGACAGACGGCGGATAGCTACTTTGTTTTATACTATGTAGTGATGATACAATAAATAAACACACATACAAATACGCCACAACACTACGAAGCATCAATTTGTATGTTTGTCCATGTACAAACCATTAAGAAGTTATGATCCATTTTACTATGAAGTAGTGTTCAGTTTATGAAACATTAATACGTGAAGTAAATACCCTTTCTTTATAGCCCTGTACATAAAATATGAAGGCGAATGTTTGTCCATCTATCTGTCATTATTAAGATAAATCACCTGTAAAAGCAAGTCATTAAAACATTACCATATTTTCCAATTCATTGTTTTTTCTGGTTAAAGCTGTAATTAATCTGTATTAAAAGATTTTCCGGGCGAAGGAGCTTCTTAAGGATTTCCTTCCTATTTTACATTTTTTTTGTCATAATTAGTTCATGATAGTGTTACTGCTGAACTGTGGGCCTCCTCTAGATAGGAAAGGCGATTGACAATGTCGACATGCTTCGCTGGCGGTCTATATGAGAGCGCTTCAATTCGGTCGCTGTTAAAAAATAATACCTATCTTCTGTTTCCAAGAATAGTGTAGATTCATGTAACAATAATATTGTGTTTTACCCTTTCACAGTTTTGGTAATAAATGCTCATATTTCTCCCTAAACGCCACTTTATTCTGTCAGTAGTATATGATACTCAGAATATATTTTTCGATGAAATAAAACAAAGGATAGACGAATGAAAATGGGGCAGGTAAACGTAAATGATTTTTTTATTTAGAGTTGAAAAGAATATGTACGGCAAATGATTACCATTTTATCCTTTTATTTATCGATTTTTATTTTAGGTAAACAAACCGAATTCGTGTAATTTTTTCTTCAAAATAAATAAACTGTATTATTATAAGGCAAACAGTGTTTTACAGTTAAAGAGTTTATACTAATGACTGCCTCATTGGCCGCAAGTGCGACTGCCGGGCAAGTGGTCTCGGGCTCGATTCCCAGGTCGGGCAAGGTATTTTTGTTTTTTTTTTTGTTTTGTTTAAAAAAAAAACGTTGCCCCACACTAGGATTTTTTCCTGTGTCGTGGGTGCGTTTACAAACATACAAGTTCACATACACAATGACACCCAGACCCGAAACATCGTATTACTGGGTTTCTTAAAAATCTCATTAGTCTGAAATTTGGAATTGTATCCGGTGTATGGCAATAGACTCGCCCGCTATAACGTGGGATTCACAACATCAATAGTGATAATTGGGTGTTATATTGCACAGTGGCATTAAGTGCCATAATGTGCACCTCGCATATCCCTTCAGGGATAAAAGGAGTGATGTTATGATAAGTGCAACAGAAGTTTACTATCTACCTTAATTTGATTACAAATCTACTATGACCCTCTGCCAGGAAATGCAATGTAATGTGGTTGTATCAACATTTTCCACTTAGTTTAAAAAGGTGTAATCTTCATTGCAGTCTCTGTCCTCGCGTGAAGAGATTGATGACGTGATGCAGTGGTTCTCAATCTTTTTTCTAGGTACGTCATGAGACAGGTGTGTTATGAGTTGTGAAAGAAATTACTATGATTTTATATCAGTTGCTTCATGTTCGAAAATCGTAAGCTTTAGGTTCTTAGTACCTATAAACATTATAAACACAATAATGTAAATGATAAAACATGTTTTTTTCACGCCGGCTTTCATTCGTAACAAAATATGGTGTCAAAATATGAGTTACCTTTGAAAATAAAGTACGTATCTATTTACAAAATAGAAGGCAGTTTTTTAATTTCCACAAAATGTACAACTATCCACCCTCTGTTATCGTACCTTCACAAGCGTTTAACTTTGAGAAACCTTGACTGAGTATAATCGATGGATAGTTTTAAAGTAAGTTGAAGTGGTTTAGTGATTGATGGAGTACTGCCAAGGCCCTTATCGATTGCTGTCGTTATAGTTGCAGGCTTGCTTTGTATAGGTAAAATATTGGTGTTTAGTCGGAAATTAACTAACTTTTACTGACTTAAACTCGGGGAAACTTGAGGTTCATAGGTTAACTGTTGGAACCACAGCTACCAAACATGAGTGAGTTCTATCGTCCGTTCGGATAACAGTGTTATTTTTTCATTAGAAGATCTAATGCCTAGAAGTCTACTAGTTCCTGGCCTGATCTTACCATAGGTACATATGAGAACAGCAGAGATGGTGACAATTGTTTTCTATTCTACTACTGTATATATGTATATTTAGGTAAATATAGTTTTAAATATATGTTGTTGACAAACTTTACAGTTTTGTTGACCCCATACTAGGGTCACAGTATTGGTTTTGGTGGACTTTTCGAATGCCTTCAACGTGGTCAATCACGACATTTTGCTAGCTATCCTATCCCATCTTTCGGTCTCTGATGGTGCACTGGATTGGTTTTCATCTTATCTTCAGGAACGTCAGCAATTGGTCCAGGTTGGTGAGGCTTCATCGAACTGGTGCCATTTAGAAGCTGGGGTTCCTCAAGGCGGAATTCTCTCTCCTCTTCTATTCTCCATCTTCATAAACCTTATCACTTCCGAACTTCAGTGTGCGTACCATCTGTATGCCGACGACCTGCAATTGTACTGTCAAGTCAAGATTGAGGACTTACCTGATGCAGTTGCGAAGGTAAACGCGGACTTGACTGCCATATCTAACTGGTCTGGGAAATTTGGCATTAATGTCAACCCGAGCAAGTGTCAGGCGATAATAGTAGGTAGCTCCCGCACTTTGTGCAAGGTTAACAGTGCAACGGTACCGCCAGTCCGGTTTGACGGTGCGGTCATTCCATTTAGTGGTGATGTCAAAAATCTTGGGTTGCACATCGACGGCAACTTAACCTGGCGTGCTCATGTTACTAGTGTCTGTCAGCGAGTCACGGGGACGTTGCGAGCCCTGTATCGGTTAAAAAACTTCCTTCCGTCGTCGACCAAGGCGATGCTTGTTCAGTCCTTGGTTTTTCCCATAATTGATTACGCTGATGTGTGTTACTACGACCTGAATGCAGATCTCCTCAATAAACTTGACCGCCTTCTAAATAACTGCATTCGATTCGTTTTTAACCTGCGTAAATACGACCATGTCTCTGCATATCGGTTGCAACTAAAGTGGTTGCCCATACGTCAACGCAGGAAACAACGGGCGTTAACCACTTTATTCTCTCTTCTTAATTCCCCCACTTCTCCTAGCTATCTATCCTCCTATTTTCAGTTCATAAGCGCAAACCACAGCAAGTATCTTCGTTCCACTAATAATCTTCTTCTACAATGTCCCACACACCGTACCGACTTCCTTCACTCTTCATTCTTTGTCCAATCCATTCTGCTGTGGAATGCGCTGCCCACGGATGTCAGGACGGCAACCAGCCGGCTTAGTTTTAAAGTTAAGGTTCGTGAGCTATTGCAGAGGGAACAGACAGACGCATCACGTACTTAATTTATCATTTTGGCGATTGTATTTAATATATATGTATATAAATATATATTATATGTAGTTTTATTCCCAATTTATTTATTTACTTTTATAGTATTGTTATCTAGTAATATTGATAATGTATCTTATGTAATTTATATTATACCTATATATTATACGGATATATGTATGTATTTACAGTTATGCATAATTATATAGATTTTTCTGTGTCACATAAACCATTACACCTATTACACCTACTGTTGCACATCTCTGCATCACCCCATGGTTGACTGTTAGAGAATGCCACCCGGCATTAAGTCCGCCATCGTATGTTTGTTATACAGAAGTGTTTAAAATAAAAAAAAATAAAAAATACTATTTATTTTAAGCCATGATTGTCCGACTGCAGGGGAAAGGTCTCCCTACCCTAATTCCACTCCTCCCTATGTAAAGCTTTTTGCGGCCAATTCTTGTCATAGTGGTCCAGTTCGTCCCGTTATTTCCTTTTGGGATTGCCGCGACGTCTATTGTCGTTGAGTGGGTTTCACTCAGTAGTGAGTTTTGCGCAGCGCTCGTCTGGCATATGGCAGACATCACCAGCCCAGTTCCACTTCAAGTATTCATTCTAAGTAAATACTTTGTTGCAGGAGAACCAGTGCATGCGTATCAAGATCCTCGGCGACTGCTACTACTGTGTGTCCGGTTTGCCAGTCTCCAGGCCTAACCATGCCTACAATTGCGTCAATATGGGTCTGCAAATGATAGATGCTATACGGTAAGGTCTTTAAAATAATTAATTAGAAAAGTCATACTGCTAAAACAATACAAAACAATTATTTCATTGTGAGTCTTTAAAAAAAATACGTGTCATATTCTAAAAATTGTATATTTTTTGCGATGCCTATAGTTTGAACACATTATTTAAAAATTATAAACCACGCTTTACAGATATCCATCTGTAAAGCGTGGTTTATAATTTGATGATTGGATGGATGTATTTAAGAGATTTTATTTGGAAGGAATATGCATTAAAAGCACTTGTAACTGATATCACTATGATCAAATAAAATTTTAAAGCAACTTTAAATCACTTCACCTTCTAACTTGATTTCTGATTCGATGATAAATACTTTGGAGTCTAGTATAGCCTCTTGTCTGTTGAAAGTTGCGGCCATAATGTGTTTTATACCGGGAGACGGTGTTTCAACAGATAAAAGGCTAAATACAAACTTGAAAAGTACTGCTGGCTGGGCAACCGGCTGCAGCGCAATGTGTCGCCGGTTCGATTCCCGCACAGAGCAACTCTTTGTGAGATCCACAGATTGTTGTTTCGGGTCTGGGTGTGATGTGTATATCCATCCACACGAAACTAAGTACAGTCTCATGCTTGAACGAGTACAGAATAAATTCATGAGATATAAGTATATGAGAGAGTTCGGGGTATATCCATTCTACCCATTAATGTATCCAACTCTGTTTGTCTTGGGTATGGTTGGATATAATGAACTACAGGTCAGGAGGCAACTCGCATTGGTGACTTATATCTTTAAGATAATTAGGGGGAAGATACACAATCCGGATATATTGCGAATGGTTGAACTGGTCGTGCCCGATGGATACGTGAGTCGTCGTCGCCAGCCGCGGTTACTGGCAGAACCACGGTCGCGAACTAACTTGCTGCGGGAGGCACCGCTCACGTGTGCGCTTCGCACTCTGAACCTCGTTGCTAATGACGTAGACATATTCTGTTGCTCTTTAGGAGAATTTACACGAGCAGCCATGCATAGGATTTGCTATATGTAGTAAAAGCTTATTATATATTTTAAAGAGTATATGGATATTTCGTGTTTGTATATTTCGTTTATTATTGTTATTTTAATATTTGCTGCAATATCGCATTGGGTCTAGCCTGTAAGGATATTTGTATGTTATGTGTAAATAAATAAATAAATAAATAAATGAACTTGTATGTTTGTAAATGTACCAATGACACAGGAGAAAATCCTTGTTTAGGTCAACGTATTTTTTAAAATAGGTGTTAATGATTATATTATTAATGCCCACTTGCCTTCATTTACTTACTATTATTTTACCAAAAATGAACTAAACATTACTCATATCTAACCTTTTTAGGTTTGTAAGAGAAGCTACAGGCTTTAACGTGGACATGCGCATTGGCATACACACTGGTAACGTGTTGTGCGGCGTGCTCGGACTACGCAAATGGCAGTTTGATGTCTGGAGCGATGACGTCACGCTGGCGAATCACATGGAGTCTGGTGGTATTGCTGGGTGAGTGAGTCTGGAATATTTTGCTATGGAATTTGGATCAGTAGTAAGCGTTTATAAAACAATCGAAAATTGTTTTGATACAATTAGCTAAAACAAACTGGGAACAACTCAGCTATATTGTCTTTCTCATATCATTTTCACTGTCGAAACTTCAAAATAAGGTTCATTGTATTTGATTTTTTCTGCAACATTCCTCGCATTTGGTACTCATAACTACAGGTACCTACTTATAGAGGTACACACCTACATATATTAAAACAATTTACCAACTTAATAAGGCTATGAATTATAAACATGACTTTTCATCACTTTTGCCATAAAACATTCCACAACTTCCTAATTCAATTGTATGCTACAAACTACTTTCAGTCTACTTTTTATGAGCCACTGAATCCATTTAAGCTTTTACCGCGCTGCAAACAAAGCTAGACAGTTTTATAATAAAATGGAAGCACTATGCTGCAGTAATTACGCTTTCAGCGGTATTTTTCAGCCCTTTTTAAAGTTTTAATCAAGTTAGAGAAAACTCTGGGAAATGAGAGTATTTTAACATGATGTAGGTATAAAATTTCTTTTGTTCCTCGCAAAGGTTGAGTTGCATTATAATTGCATTTAGTGGTACTGAATTTCAGACAATTACATTATGTTACAGGTAATATTGTGTTATACTCCGAAATTCTTACGATTCCTGAAACTGATTTTACTTACCGATTTTACTGAAAAGGAATCGAAATACTGCGAATATTATTTTCAAGTTAATGGAAAAAAAATCAGTGTTAATATTTAGCCTGTTTCAGGATTTGAACTTGAGACCACGCAAGAATATCTTAAAGATTTATTTCTTAGGTAGACAAAAACTTCTTATAGGTAATTACAATTTTCAAATGTCCAAAATACTAGTTATCAATATCATAAAGTCAAAGACAAACAATATTTCAATTCTTCAATCAAGAAATACGCCAGAGTTGATTTAATCTGCCATTGAAAAAGGACACTAATCGAACTTGTAACAAAGTTCAAACTAGACTGAAAGTTAAACAAGCGTGATCTAATATCTTTGTAGCAAAGTTTAAGTTGTGTCACAGTGTTGGAATAGGTCCAGTCTTAATATGTAACTTAGTACTTTTTAGAGACCTGCGTAAGTCCTAGATACGTAACCACTTTGTGAACTAAGCTCTCTTAGTAAAGTATGTTACAGTAGAAAACATGATGACGTTGATAATGAAATGGTTCATGCAGTGTTGTTACATATTCGTCAACCTAGCTGTTGCGACTTCGTCCGCGTAGAATATGATTCTTGTTTTATCCCATGGGAGCATTTAATCGGAATAAAAAAATCATTTAATCGATAATTACAGTTAATGTTATACTAATATGCCTGCTGCAATGCCCAACTGCCTCGTTGACCGAGTCGTCGCAAGTGCGACTGCCAGGCAAGGGGTCTCAGGTCCGATCTCCTTAGGTACTGGGTTATGTGGAAATGTGCTCGATATAATATGGCAATGGACTCATAATATAAATAGTGAAAAGTGGATGTTACATTGAACAGTGGCATTAGGTGCCGTAAATGCACCACTGTCTACCCTTTCGGGGATAAAAGGCGTGATGTTATGTTATGTGGTATGGTATGTACCTAGTATTATTAGGGCTTTTTAGTTGTGGTAATATTTAAAAATCAACATATATATTGTATTTCTTTTATTACAGTCGTGTTCACATAACCAAAGCTACGCTTCTACAACTGGGAGGCAGGTTCGACGTGGAGCCTGGAGACGGTGCTTCAAGAGAAGGATACTTGGCTGACCATAAAGTGGAGACATACCTCATTGTACCACCGAAGGTAAGTTCACTCATTCTATCTACAAAAAGAAAAATTTACTGGTGTATTTGGAACTTCTATGTTATTTGTTTAAATTTAAAGTTATTTATATAAATAAAATTTAGCGCCGACTTCTAACCTATCAGTGGTTGGGTAATCTATCAGTACTAATAATAGTTATTTTTTGTCTTTTAGTTTTTACTTTTTGTTTGTTTTTAGCTTTTGCGTTTTTTGAAGTCGGTTTTTTTATGGTATAAGCTGGTAAACGGCGTCGGCTATGGACACTTGAAACACCAGAGGCTACAAGTGCATTACCGGCCCTTTGGGAATTTGAGGATTGTGGGGGATTCGGGGATTGGGGAGACTGGAGAGGGGGGCTAATTGGGCCACCGGTAACCATCCTCATACGACCAAACACAACCCAAGCGTTGTTTCACGTCGGTTTTCTGTGAGACCGTGGTATCACGCTAGCTGAGCCGCCCCATTCGTGCCGAAAGCATGGTTCTCACACACTTTAACTATACCTTCCCTATTCTTCTAGAAACAATAACATACCGACAGAAATATTTATCATTATTCTAATAATTTAATACCGAACTACGAACTAAGGTATTGTTCATCAAATACAAACACAAATGATATAATTAATCTACATAATCTTACTTCACAAACACATTACTGAAAATGTCTTCAGCGTTCCTGCAAGGTCTTTGTTTAAGATTGATGGTAGTAAAACAAGGCTGTATGGTGTAATGCTATGATCATTATTATGAGATGCTTTATAAGACATGATTAATTGACTCTTTCAAACGTGATGACTTGTGTTAGTTTGTACCTGTAATTTGTGATTACAGTTTTGTGTATTTGAATTAGGACCGGGGTAGGTTTTAGCCAGTAAGAGTCTGACAGACCCTTCGGTCCTTCTCGGGCGAGGCGGCGCCATAAGGACTTCCAATCTTGGGGTTAAATAAAAGCATCTATATTTCATATAAATTGGGTTCACTGGAGTTTGGCCTTCTACGCCATTTAGTCGTCATTATTGTGACAGATATCTCTAGTAGTTTTAGAAACAGGTAGGAATAGGTGCCTCAAGTACGCTTTAGTAGATTTTTACAATAAGCCAAAAATTTTGTATACAAAATCTAAAGGACAATCTCAATAACATAGTCCATCTTGGGTTTTGAACCTGAAATATTATGTTCCCCTTATCTTAAGAACAAAAAGATACACCTCCCAATGTACTACTATGTACTATGTTTACGGCAGAAAAATGTTTTTCTGTAGCATAATGTCCCATTCATTTTCCTTAAACAAACAGATTTACAGTCTCCACAGAAAGAATTTATTCTGGCCAATGAAGATATATATACCTCTAACATCCTTCCCTTCTTATTATAAATTAACAAGAAACCGCCTCAGTAGATATCTGATATTTCTCGCTTCGACAAAAATTGTTCAATTTGATCGAGTGACAGAATGATTCGGGCTCAAGTATCGAATGAGATTTCCTTGTGTGAATCTCTGAGGTTATTTGTTCAGATAATATTTATTTATCTTATTCCGTGGTTTTGATATGTTTATGTTTAATTTTGCGATTTTCATGTGTATCGGAAAGCATTTTATTTCGAAAGAGTCAATTAACTTGTACCCATAGAAACCCAAAAGTCTAAGTAAAATTAATTTTGAAAAAGCAAATCGAATAAAAACACAACCTTTGGTTAGAAACGATATCCACCAAAAATTTGTTTTATGGAATAAGCCAGTAAACGAGCAGACGGATCACCTGATGGTAAGCAATCGGGGTCGCCCATGGACACTCGTAACACCAAAGGTGTTACAAATGCATTAACGGCCTTTTGGGGATTAGGAATGAGATGAGTATTGGAGATTCGGGGATTTGGGAGATTGGGGAGGCGGATTATTGGGCCTCCGGTAACCTCAATTACACGCCGAAACACAACACAAATGTTGTTTCACGTCGGTTTTCTGTGAGGCCGTAGTATCACTCCGGTCGAGCTGGCCCAATCGTGTCGAAACATGGCTCTCCCACACATAAAAATGTTCCTTAATGCAAAATTATTCCAATCATTCTTTTTTCCAAATCAATCAAGAGGAAATTCAGTTTCGATTGATCATTCACTACGCCTCTGATCCCTCCAATTAAGGTACAAATTCATACTTCATCAAAACAGTTTGAAAAATGATTGGATCCAAAACGAACTATTCATAGCCCGACTCCATCATGCAAACGCAACTAGTCGCAGTTTCATTGAATTGCAAATCAGTTGCTTTCGGCTCACTGGGCAAAATAAAACGAAGATGATCTTATTATGTTTGTGTTGACAACAAATTGCTTTTGAAACTGCATCTGTAGAGCAATAAGGACTATGAAATATTAAAGTTAAATTAATAATGTCTTTCTTTCAAATTGACGATTTAACAAGTCTAGTATTTCTCATTTGTTGAAACTTACGGGTTACCGGGGCTCCGGCTCGACGTGCAGGAGAAGGAACGGGGTAGTTTTTAGTCAGTAAGAGTCTGACACTAAGGTTGGAGCAGTCATTCAATGATTTTCCCCCCTTAAAAAAAGTATTTCTCATTTGTGGAAAAATGTCGCTTGTGAAATGTTTATATTACCCTTTAGAAACATAATTCTTAGTCTCAGGTCTTATCAAATTATGAAAATAATAAACAAATCGAATAAACAGGTATCTGAACCATTCTAAAGTAAGTTTATACTTATGTATGTAGTTAGCTACATACTTAATCAAATTAACTTTTGATGCAACTGACCGCAGTTGTTTTAGCAATAACAATTTAACTTGTTACATAATAAGTCTTGTATCGTGTGTAGTTCAATCATGCATGGTGCGATGTCATTGGTGTCAAATATTGCCAATATCCGTGTATCAGGAATCGAATTGACTACATACTGAATGTATTACTGTCTCATGTTATATCTACGTATATGAATTGAGATGAGTTGACGATATAGTAATGTAGTTTTTGTTGTTCAACAATTTTATGGAAATGTTTCTTTAACATCTACTTTAAAACTAAGGAAAGACTAAAGATACATAGAAACAGAATATAAATTCTTATGTATAAAAATGAATTTCCGTTCGTTAGTCTCGCTGAAACTCAAGAACGGCTAAACGCTGAAATGTTTGTGAAAATCCAGGGACGGTTTGAAAGGTGACAAAAAACAAAAATTAGTCGCAACGAAATCTGCTGGGTCAGATGGTTAACTATAAAAGAAGTAATCATAAAATAACATCACTCCATTTCACCCGAAGACCCCTTCGCCAGCCAGTGGTGCACATTACGGCACTTAATGCCACTGTACTGTGTAACACCCACTTTTGACTATTTATTTTATGGGTCCCATGTAATAGGGGGTGAGCCTAACTCCAAACGCCGTGCTTTTACTACTAATATTTTTTGAAAACACAGTAATACTTTGCCCAACCCGGGAATCGAACCTGAAACGCCTGCCAGACGGTATTCGCACTTGAGGCACGAGGCACTTAAGTTAGTAATAATTCATGATTAATGTAATTTTAAGATTATTATGAACTGGAATATAAACAAAGTTTTAAAAAACCTTATCACTTTTGTAGACATTCATAGAATTTCGAAAACATACATTTATTTATTTATTATAAAAATCTTCCTACACTCTCATTACAGGATTTTCCCAATTCGACAGTGAGGCTTAATCTAGTTAAAAAAAACATATTTATATTACTAAAAAGAAGTTATACAACGAAATAAAAAAAAAATTAAACTCAAAGATAATAAAGTGGGCCTTACAATATATACACATTATATCTCACAGTCAGACAGTCACATAATATTCTGAACATCGATGTGTTGTCTAACAGATCTTAGATCCCAGACCTTATTGTAGAAGTAATTCAATTTCTTAGTAAAATATTTGTAGGTTCGATATGTGTAGGTACCGGTAGAGGATCCGTGTCTGTTTGAACTGAGATCTGTTCGCAAATACACAGTAGGTACGTAAACATACAAACAAATCCGTCTGTTTGTCAGTCCTTGTGTAACATGGTTTGCTACTGAAAATACTTCTGAAGAAAAATGTGATTGGAAAAATTGTGATGTGAGTAAGATTATGTAATACATACCGTCACGCCTTTTATCCTCGAAGGGGTAGGCAGAGGTGTACATTACGGTACTTAATGTACAATGTAACACCCTCTTTTCACTATTTATGTTATGAGTCTCATGTAATAGGGGGTGAGCCTATTGCCGCATATCCCATCTATACTAATATTATAAAGAGGAAAGATTTGTATTTTTGTATTTTTGTATGTTTGTAATGAATAAACTCAAAAACTACTGGACCGATTCCAATAATTTTTTCACCATTAGAAAGCTGCATTATTCAGAAGTAACATAGGCTATATAATATCACGCTAGGTCCTATAGTTGTGGAGCAGTAACCAAAAATGTTTTAAAAACGGAGGAAAAGTGTCGTTTCTGAGGCCTTCCGTGGCGTGCGCTGGGCATATAGTTAAAGTTATACAAAAATGTTCTATAGATGAATTGTTTATCTTAACATTATTTTTAAAAAAGTCCGCGAGAGCATATGTCTACCTTTTATAGTTTACCCATAACAATCGTTTTAATGAATGACTCAATCCTTATAAAAGTTTGCTCTAGATAACTTTTGAATTGTTCAATCGGTTACCTTATGACTATTAATTCATCCAAAAGATACCTATTAGGTAAGTACTTACCTGCTATAAAAAACCTTAAAAAAAACAAAAAACTTTAACAAAAAAAACCTTAAAACAACAAAAAAAACAATAAAAACCTTAAAACAATAAAGAAAAACAAAAAAAAAATGAAAAGATTAAAAATGATAAATATTTTTCAATAAATGTAAAATAACAATTTAAAAACAAACTTTTACCTCAACCAAAACAAACAACAACAAAATAGGTAGGTTCCTATTTAAGAAGAAAATAATTAATTAAATAAATGAAATAAGTAAATGA